CTGGAGGTGATAAATCCTGCCAGGACTGGGTCCCCTTCAAGGTAGTGGGTTCCCTTTGGCCCAGGGCATGTCTAAAAATCTCACCTAAGAGCTAGGGCCTGGAATGGGGGCCTCATGACTTTGCCTAGTGCCCTGTCCTACCGTGGCTGAGCTGGTGTCCAAGTTGCAAAACAAAATCCTTTTTATTATTCCCTTTCCTCTCCTCAAATGGAAGGAAGGGGTCTCTTTTGGAGGTATGTGTTGTGCTGCCTGGGGTTGGGGTAGGGGTAGGGGTGGCACTCCCTTAGCCACCCAGACTAGTGTCTCACTGGGTCTCATGACCCTCCAAGTCCAGTGGCTCTGAACCCAGTACAGGAGTAGGACTTGGCTAGGAGTTGCAGTCCTTGTGGCCTTGACAGCCTGTCAAGTTTATTTAGAACCCAAGAGCACTTTAACCTGTGATGGTGAAGCTTGCAGAAACTCAAGGTCTTTTTTTGAGACAGAGTTTCGCTCTTGTTGCCCAGGCTGGAGTGCAGTGGCACTGTCTCAGGTCACTGCGACCTCCACCTCCCGGGTTGAAGCAAATCTCCTACCTTAGCCTCCCAAGTAGCTGGAATTACAGGCATGCACCACCATGTCTGGCTAATTTTTTGTATTTTTAGTAGAGATAGGTTTCTCCATGGTAGTCAGACTGGTTTCAAACTCCAGACCTCAGGTGATCTGCCCACCTTGGCCTCCCAAAGTGTTGGGATTACAGGCGTGAGCCACCGTGCCCAGCCAGAAACTTAAGTTCTGACTGTTGGGATGGGTGATTCCCCTCTGGCTAGGGCTAGTCTAAATGCTCCCTCTGTGGGCACTGGTTGTGTTTTGACTGGTGTTGGCAGCACTGAGTTCCCATAATTGCTGCACTCTCCCTCCCCCAAATTCACAGATACTCTGCACAATGTGGCCACTGCTAGGGGATGCAGGAGGGCTGACGCTAGTGATTCAAGACTGTCTTTCCTACCCTCTTCAGTACACCTTTCAGTGATATGAAGTTAACATCAGATACTCTGATTGCTCATCTGTTTTTGGTTCTTTGAGGGTGATTTTTAATGTAGATAGTTGTCAAATATGGTGTTCCTGTGGGGAAAATGATCAGTGAAGGATTCTATTTATCCATCTTGCTCCCATCCCTCCACCTGTGTACATGTTTTTGTATGGGTGTATATTTTCATTTCTCTAGGAAATATACCTTGGAGTGGAATTGCTAGGTTATATGATCACTTTATGCTTAACTTTTTAAGGAAATGCCAGACTGTTTTCCAAAATGGCTGTGCTATTTTACTTTCCCATCAGCAATGTAGAGGGGTTACAATTTCTCTGCATCCTTGTCAATGCTTATTATTGTCTGGTTATCTTTCTTTTTCCTTCAAATATTTGATTTTAGCCATCCTAGTGGGTGTAACGTGGATTTTGTGGGTTTGATTTTTGTATTTCTCTAATGACTAATGATGTTGAATAGCTCTTCATGAGCTTATTGGCCATTTGTTCTCTGGCTTCTGGCTGTGTGTTAATGGAGAGTCAAGTTGAGGTGACTTAATAAAATAGAATATTCTCTGATTTATCAAACATTTTTGTGATCTATCTTCATTCTTATTCTGTCCCTTGTTCTCTCCCTAGTCCCCCAACCCTTTGCATATACAGATTTAGAGGTGAAAACCTCAAAGAGTATGGATCTGGTTTTCCTTTCTTGTGCCCGACGGCTGGAGCTACTCTCTCTTTTCGATACATCCCAAATCCTAGAGTGTAGAAGTAAGGTAGGGTAGGGTAGAGAAGGTGCCTTTGATGATTCCAATCCTGTAGACAACAGAGAGAGGTATCGAACAGTCCAGGCCTGATGTTTTCTATTCTAGGTAGTCTGTTCTCATCATGGCTAGGGGGGGGTAGGGCCTCCCATAACAACAGGTCCTATTCTTTTTATTATTATTATTATTATACTTTAAGTTCTGGGATACATGTGCAGAATGTGCAGGTTTGTTACATAGGTATACACGTGCCATGGTGGTTTGCTGCACCCATCAACCTGTCATCTACATTAGGTATTTCTCCTAATGCTATCCTTCCCCTAGTCCCCCACCCCAACAGGCCCTGGTGTGTTATGTTCCCCTTCCTATGTCCATGTGTTCTCATTGTTCAACTCCCACTTGTGAGTGTGGTGTTTGGTTTTCTGTTCCTGTGTTAGTTTGCTGAGAATGATGATTTCCAGCTTCATCCATGTTCCCGCAAAGGACATTAACTCATCATTAGTATTCCATGGTGTATATGTGTCACATTTTCTTTATCCAGTCTATCACTAATGGGCATTTGGGTTGGTTCCAAGTCTCTGTTATTGTGAATAGTGCTGCAATAAACATACGTGTGCATGTGTCTTTATAGTAGAATCATTTATAATCATTTGGGTATATACCTAGTAATGGGACTGCTTGGTCAAATGGTATTTCTGGTTCTAGATCCTTGAGGAATCACCACACTATCTTCCACAATGGCTGAACTAATTTACACTCCCACTAACAGTGTAAAAGTGTTCTTATTTCTCCATATCCTCTCTAGCATCTGTTGTTTCCTGACTTTTTAATGATCGCCATTCTTTTTTTTGTTTTGTTTTGTTTTTTTGAGATGGAGTCTTGCTCTGTCGCCCAGGCTGGAGTGCAGTGGTGCGATCTTGGCTCACTGCAAGCTCTGCCTCCTGGGTTCACACCATTCTCCTGCCTCCCGAGTAGCTGGGACTACAGGCGCCTGCCACCACGCCCAGCTAGTTTTGTGTATTTTTAGTAGAGACGGGGTTTCACCATGTTAGCCAAGATGATCTCGATCTCCTGACCTCTGATCCACCCGCCTCAGCCTCCCAAAGTATTGGGATTACAGGCGTGAGCCACTGCCCCCAGCCTAATGATCGCCATTCTAACTGGCGTGAGATGGTATCTCATTGTGGTTTTGATTTGCATTTCTCTGATGACCAGCGATGATAAGCTTTTTTTCATATGTTTGTTGGCCACATAAATGTCTTCTTTTGAGAAGCATCTGTTCATATCCTTTGCCCACTTTTTGATGGGGTTGTTTTCTTCTTGTAAATTTGTTTAAGTTCCTTACAGATTCTGGATATTACCCCTTTGTCAGATGGATAGATTGCAAAAAATTTTCTCCCATTCTGTAGGTTGCCTGTTCACTCTGATGATAGTTTCTTTTGCTGTGCAGAAGCTCTTTAGTTTAATTAGATCCCATTTATCAATTTTGACTTTTGTTGCCATTGCTTTTGGTGTTTTAGTCATGAAGTCTTTGCCCATGCCTATGTCCTGAAGGGTATTGCCTAGGTTTTCTTGTAGGGTTTTTATGGTTTTAGGTCTTACATTTAAGTCTTTAATCCATCTTGAGTTGATTTTTGTATAAGGTGTAAGGAAGGGGTCCAGTTTCTGTTTTCTGCATATGGCTAGCCAGTTTTCCCAACACCATTTATTAAATAGAGAATCCTTTCCCCATTGCTTGTTTTTGTCAGGTTTGTCAAAGATCAGATGGTTGTAGATGTGTGCCATTATTTCTGAGGCCTCTGTTCTGTTCCATTGGTCTATATATCTGTTTTGATACCAGTACCATGCTGTTTTGGTTACTGTAGCCTTGTAGTGTAGTTTGAAGTCAGGTAGCGTGATGCCTCCAGCTTTGTTCTTTTTGCTTAGGATTGTCTTGGCTATACAGGCTCGTTTTTGGTTCCATATGAAATTTAAAGTAGTTTTTTTTTTTTTTTTTTTTTCCTAATTCTGTGAAAAAAGTCAATGGTAGCTTGATGGGGATAGCATTGAATCTATAAATTAATTTGGGCAGTATGGCCATTTTCACAATATTGATTCTTCCTATCCATGAGCATGGAATGTTTTTCCATTTGTTTGTGTCCTCTCTTATTTCCTTGAAAAGTGGTTTGTAGTTCTTGAAGAGGTCCTTCACATCCCTTGTAAGTTGTATTCCTAGGTATTTTATTCTCTTTGCAGCAATCGTGAATGGGAGTTCACTCATGATTTAGTTCTCTGTTATTGGTGTATAGGAATGCTTGTGATTTTTGCACATTGATTTTGTATCCTGAGACTTTGCTGAAGTTGCTTATCAGCTTAAGGAGATTTTCGGCTGAGACAATGGGGTTTTCTAAATATACAATCATGTCATCTGGAAATGGAGACAATTTGACTTCCTCTCTTCCTATTTGAATACCAATGTGAAAATCCTCAAGAAAATACTGGCAAACAGAATCCAGCAGCACACCAAAAAGCTTATCCACCACGATCAAGTCGGCTTCATCCCTGGGATGCAAGGCTGGTTCTACATATGCAAATCAATAAATGTAATCCATCACATAAACAGAACCAATGACAAAAGCAAACCACATGATTATCTCAATGGATGCAGAAAAGGCCTTCAATAAAATTCAATACCCCTTCATGCCAAAAACTCTCAATAAATTAGGTACTGATGGAATGTATCTCAAAATAGTAAGAGCTATCTATGACAAACCCACAGCCAATATCATACTGAATGGGCAAAAGCTAGAAGCATTCCGTTTGAAAACTGGCACAAGACAAGGATGCCCTAGCTCACTATTCCTATTCGACATAGTATTGGAAGTTCTGGCCAGGGCAATCAGGCAAGAGAAAGAAAGAACAGGTCCTATTCTAAAGCAAACTCCAGGTCAGACTATGGAAACTCCTGAATCAAGAACCAGAGAACTATTCTGATTGTTGTAATACTCCCATGGACACAATCCTCATCATGCCTCTGGGGTACTGTCACACTCAACTCTTTGATATAGAAGTTGGCAATGTGGTCGGCAAAAATCCCACAAAATAAGATAGTTTTATTCTTCTACCAATTAAAGAGACACAGACATCATTATATAGCCATATAGAAACATGATGGCCCAGGGACACATACGTGGCTACATATCCAGATACAGAGAACTACCCGCACCTTCCTTCTCCTGCAGCCTAAACACTTACATCTAAATGTTCCATGGTCACATCACAGAGGGAACTACAGGATGGATGAAGCAGTTCACAGATGATGGTGTCTGCACCCTTGCAAAACAACATTATCCGATCTTCAGGTGTCCGCACTAAAGATAAGCAAATTAAGCAAAGTAACTATCAGTCTCTTATTATAACTTATCTGAGCCAATGAGGGATAATAGGAGGCTATTCCCCATGACACTGTTTCTCCCTTTAATGCAGGCTAAGTACTCAGTGAGTGGTCACACAGGATAAATGATGTGGCGAGGGCTGCTAAAAGTGAGAGAGGAACTTACAGAACCAGTTCTTCCATGGGTTCAGTGCTACCCATGGAAGAGTCTGATGTAGAATCACATTTAGTATCTCCAAGTCCCAGACCAAGGCTCATATCTAGTAATGCCACGGGTGAAAAATGACCTTCCTTTTTAGTATGAGGGGCTCAAACTAACTGAAAGAGACAGTATGAATTTTCCCTTACTGTCTGCTCCCATCTCTTATTCCATGTTCATTGCCCTCACCGTGGCTTTGAGGGTGCTGACAAGCCACTGCTCAGGAACACTAGGGACTTAGTGTGGACTTAGCATATGGTAGCAAGCCCACATATGTGTGTAAGAGAAAAGTTAAAGGATATGTGAGAAAATAGGGATGGCTGCATGTTTGTATTTGAGGCACATACCTATGAGAAGGTATGTGAGTGGGAGAAAGCATGTATGTGTAGATAAAAAAGAAAGGCAATGTGTGAATATGTATGAAGGACAAAGAAGGGGAGAAGGCCAACTAGAAAGGGCACCCACCAATAACAGACATCCTCTTGCGCACATTGTTGAAGTCCAAAATAGTCAGCAGTTGGTAGACTCTGGTTTTCCCCATTTCGACCAGTATGACTGTCTCAGACGTGCGGGAACGGAACACAAAGCCAAAGTTCCTGGCAGCAGTGACCAGGGCACCTTCATCTGGTGACTGAGCCTGGTACACCAGCATGCCTGACAGGAGAGAAGAGGGCAACCAGAGCCCACAGAGATGAGTAGCTGAAGTCCACCCAGAAGTGACACTGTCTTCTAAGTGGTTTATATAAAGATAGAGCCCAGAGAGGGGCATGTTTCTTTAAAACTACCTGACAAGTCTGGCTCTACAAGGCCAGATTGCATAGAACATATCAGTGTTTTCTCCTTTCCTTTTTTTAATTTTTAATTTTTATTTTTTTGAGACAGGGTCTCACTCTGTCACCCAGGCTGGAGTGCAAGTGGTGTGATCACAGCTCACTGAAGACTCAACCTCCCAGGCTCAAGCAGTCCTCCCACCTTGCTCTCCCAAGGAGCTGTGACCACAGGTATGCACCACAACTGGCTTTTTTTTTTTTTTTAAAGATGGGGTCTCCCTATGTTGCCCAGGCTGGTATCGAACTTCTGGGCTCAAGTGATCCTCCCTTCTCGGCATCCCAAAGTGCTGAGATTATGGGCATGAGCCACCACACCTGGCCTTCATTTCCATTATTTTCAACTTACTTTACAGAGGTATATGGAACATACAATGTATACAAACAAACTGAACAGGCAGTTATTCTTTGACTTTAGTGAGTAAAGATGGCTCAGGAAGCTTGTTAAAAATGCTAGTTCCTGGATCTCTCCCAAACTTAACTGAATCCATAATCACAAAATCTGGGAGGAGGGCCTAAGAAAATGAATTTTTAACAAATCTCCTGGGTGATTCTCATGCAGGTGGTCCTGCATAAGTGCTCCTGAATAAGACTAACCACGCTTTTAAAAACACTGCTGTAAGAAAATGAGATTGATGATTTAGTAAACTATATATATATAGTTTATATATAGAGAGAGCTATATATATACGCAAGTGTTGTCATCTTTGAAAGTCACCCTGGGAAGCTAAATGACTCACCTTATTGAATCAGTCTTTCAATCTGATATTCTTCAAGATATTTCTGCAACTCCTTTGTTAGAATATTATCACAACTTCAGGTATATTTTAGATTATTTCTCTTCTGAAGGTTGATTTGATTTTTAAAACAGTTATGCATCATTAGAGTCTTATGCTTGTGAATATGGTAGGTGGGGAATATAATTTTCAGATATAAGATATATCTACTGAACAATTGAGATTATTTTCTTGTGCGTTTCCTGCTCTGTTACTTGGGGCAGTAAACAAGGCTAAGGCCAAATATGCTTCAAATAATAGCAGCTTGTTGGAATAGCAGCAGGTCAGAGAAGCATGCGGTGAACGTGACATTGGGTTTTTATCTCTGCTCTTCTTAGCTATAGGATTTTAGGCAAGTAACTTAAGCTCCCTTAGCATCAGTTTCCATTTTTCTTGTTCTGCCTACCTCAGAGGGCTGATGTGAAGACTGTATGAGATAATACAAATGAAAGCAATTTGTAAAACTGTAAAGTGATATACAAATATAAGGTGTCACTACTGGTAGTATTAAGAGTACATTGACTTTAAAGGATGTGATTCATTTGGTTGTCTAAATTCTTTTTTTTTTTTTTTTAATTTGAGATGGAGTCTCGCTCTGTCACCCAGGCTGGAGTGTAGTGGCACGATCTTGGCTCACTGCAACTTCCGCCTCTCGGGTTCAAGTGATTCTTCTGTCCTCAGCCTCCCAAGCAGCTAGGACTACAGGTGTGTGCAACCATGCCTGGCTAATTTTTGTATCTTTAGTAGAAACGGGGTTTCACCATATTGGCCAGGCTGGTCTTGAACTTTGGACCTTGTGATCTGCCCGCCTCAGGCTCCCAAAGTGCTGGGATTACAAGCGTGAGCCACTGCGCCTGGCCTGGTTATATAAATTCTTATTTGTTAAGGAAAAAAAGTCTTCTTAATTAATTAATTTATTTTTTGGGACAGGGTCTTGCTCTATCACCCACACTGAAGTGCACTGGCATGATCTTGGCTCACTGCAACTTCTGCTTCCAGGGCTCAGGTGATCTGCCCACCTCAGCCTCCTGAGTAGCTGGGACTACAGGTGCACACCACCACGCTTGACTAATTGTTTTTTTGTTTTTTTTTTTTTTTTACTTTTTGTAGAGACAGAGTTTCATTATGTTGCCCAGGCTGGTCTCGAATTCCTGGAGTCATACAATCCACCTGCTCAGCCTCCTGCTACTGGCATGAGCCACTGCACCCTGCCAAGTCTTAATTTATAATCAATTATTTCTCATTCATTGTTTCTAAAGAGGTTTGGATAAATTAATGGATGACATAGCCAGATCTGGTTACTAAAAAAAGCTAGGATAGGGGAGATATCTTCAAATTGTGAAGCAACAAGAGGATGACAACTCATCTTTTAGGAGGCCTTGTCAGAGACAGTGGGGCTGATCTGGAGGGCAGAACATCACAGAGTTTCAAGATCAGAAGTTCCCACGGCTATGCTTTCAGGGACCATTCTTTTTTCTTTTTCCTGCCACCCTCCTCAGGATAATTTTTTTTTCCTAGAGCTAGGGTCTCTCTGCCACCCAAGCTGGAGTACAGTGGCACGATCATAGCTCATTGCAACCTCAAACTCCTACCCTCAAGCCATCCTCCTGCCTTAGCCTCCCAAGTAAGTGGGATTACAGGCCTGCAGCACCATAGCTGGCTAATTTTTTTTCTTTTTTTTTCCTTTCCTTTTCTTTTCTTTCTTTCTTTTTGTGACAGAGTCTTGCTCTATCGCCAGGCTGGAGTGCAATGTCACTATCTCGGCTCACTGCAACCTCCAACTCCCTGGTTCAAGCAATTCTCCTGGCTCAGCTCCCTGAGTAGCGGGGATTACAGGCATGCGCCACCACACCCAGCTAATTTTTGCATTTTTAGTAGAGATGGGGGTTTCACCATGTTGGTCAGGATGGTCTTGATCTCCTGACCTCATGATCCGCCCGCCTCGGCCTCCCAAAGTGCTGGGATTACAGGCGTGAGTCACTGCGCCTGGCACCTGGCTAATTTTTTTATTTATTTAAAAATTTTTTTTTTTGTAGAGATAGGGGTGGACAGGGGGAATCTCACTTTGTTGTCCAGGCTAGTCTCAAACTCCTGGCTTCAAGCAATCCTCCTGCCTTGGCCTTCCAAAATGCTGGGATTATAAGCATGAGCCACTGCTCTCAGCCTCAGGGATCATTCTATAGTTAGTTACCAGAAAAGTTTCTCTGAAAATGTAGAGCACCATAAAAAATTAAAAGAAATGAAAATAATCTGAAGCTCCCAGACAGCACCAAGTTTGACTCCTACTGAATGAATGAATCTTCTTTTAAACCAAGAGTTTGTTTTCTACTTGAATACCTCTGGTATTAACAGGAGCTAACACTTATCTTGACTATCCATTCCATTGCCAGACAAAGCTACCTAATAGAAAGTTCTTTCTTAGATTAGGCCATTGCAAAGCATATCAAATCACCCCTACCTCCAGCCTAGACTCCATGACATATTCTCAGTCCATGAAGCTACCTTAGGCCTCTCCTCACCTTTTACTTTTTCTTCTGACATCACGGTATGACACAATGAGAGTGAGCGGAAAAACAAGTGCACCCAGTGATCTCCCTTTTTCACTGCTTCCACCAAAGTCTTGTCATAAAATGAAAACTTAGGATCAGCCAGTTTGTTGTAGGAGAAGTCAACCTTTTCTTTCTGGAACACATAAGCCAGAACAAACTTCTCAGCAGCAGCTTGATACTTTTCAGATCAATTTGGAGGCAGTTTCTGGAATGTGATGAGAACTCCTAGGAGGATGGCAAGGAAAAGCAAGATAAATGAAGGAGATCCTGTGCTGGTTTCTAAGGCCCCTGTAGCTCTGACCTGGATCATCTATTTATTGGGCCAGAAAACATCCTTCCTACAGGAGACAAGCTGGGCACTGCTCAGCAGACCCCTCTTGGGCTCATTCACTCCAGCTATTCTGAATGGTTAATGGCTATCTTCAAACTCTGCTCTTCTAGGTCCCAAATCTATGATAATCATACCTGAGAATAATCAAAACAGAGGGAGTAATTGCTCTGTATTTGTAGGTGGTGTCTGGAAAGAGCATTGTTTCTGGTTGTCCGTTGCCTGATTTTGGGAACTGAGTATGGAGTAGAGTCCTACATACAGTGGTATCATTGTGTTACACTATTCCTCTCTGGCCCCACCAGAGTTAAAAGGAGGCTAGGGAAGAATATTGCAAGATAGAGCAAGGCCACATGACAAGGAAGCTTCAGTATGTGCTTGTTGTTCACAGACTTAATTCCTGCTTGACTTGTCAGCATACCTGATTCTTCCTGCCTCTAACCCTCATGATCACTGACTTTGCTGCTTGTGTTACTATTTCCATCCTTCCTTCAGTCTTGTGCATAGTCACTAATCATTTTCCTGGCTATGACCTTGGCTCCTTTAGCCCTTGACTCTGATTCTCCATTTCAGCTAGGCAGCTTGTAGCCACCTTGGGCAAACATTTTTTTCTGGCTCAGCTTGGCCCTAAGACTTTCTTTCTCTTTTTCTTTCTTTTTTGTTGTTGTTGTTTTGTTGTTATTGTTGAAACAGAGTCTCAGTCACCCAGGCTGGAATGCAGTGGTGCAATCTTGGCTCACCACAACCTCCACTTCCTGGGTTCAAGCAATTCTCGTGCCTCAGCCTCCCAAGTAGCTGGAATTACAGGCGTGTGCTACCACGCCCAACTAATTTTTGTATTTTTAGTACAGACGGAGTTTCACCACGTTGGCCAGGCTGGTCTCAAACTCCTGGCCTCAAGTGGTCCACCCACCTCAGCCCCCGCAAAGTGCTGGGATTACAGGCATTAGTGATTGCGCCCAGCAGGCCCTAAGACTTTCTTTTCTCCACTCTGGAGTACAATGTTATGAACACATTTCTCCAGCTCATACCAGAACTCTCAAGGATCTTTCTCCAGTTCTCTGTATATGTGGCGTTACTTGGGCTGGGCCCTACTATGTCAAGTACAGACACAATTTTGTTGCTTGGTGCTATGTTGGGAAAAAGGAAGTTTGTAGTGAGGTATATTGGCTCTTTTCTATATCTTACTTAGAGGGAGTTTGTCAGAGCAGCAAGGAGGTATGCTCAGGTCCAGAACCAAGCCCTAGACTTGGCCAACAATAGAGTTATAAGCTCGGGGAAGTTCATGGTTTCAGCAATTTAAGATGGCCCATTATATAGCACATGTATCCTAAGGCTTTTCTAGAATTGAGACCTTACAGTGGCACATTCTTTGAAACTAGAGGCTAGTGAGTAAGGAGAGACAAGGATGGAAAGGAAGGCATGAGCCAGATCCTACATTACTATCTTATTACCAATAAGGTGTCATAGTGGTTTTCCACCAAAAGTGATGTGGATTCCTGTCAGAGAAAGTCCTCTGGTAGCAGCATGAAGAATATATTGGAACTAGCAAGATGAGAAGCAGGGAGACCAGTTAGGAGACCACTTAGTGATTCACAAGATAAATGATGAAGTAGTGACAATAAATATTAAATTAAGGGGATGGATTTGAAAATATAGAGAGTTAGAATTGATAGGACATGGATATAAGGAGTAAAAGAGAAGAAGAGTTAAGAATAATTTTATATTCCCTAATTGGGCCCCTGGATAGATAGTGAGACCATTCACTGAGATAGAATACCGAGCAGGAGAAGATTTTTTGACAGACTGAATTGGAGATCCTGAAGACATACAGGTAGTAATGAAGGCAGGCAGTTGTACATATAGTTTTGAAACTCAGGAAAGAGATATGAGCTAGTTTATGATCTCCCCTTTCAGATAAGTAATGTTTGAGAATAATGAACCCGTCTGGGTTCAGAACTGAGGCAGGACTGGCTGAGAGTTGCAGAACAGCATGATCTGAGAGGCAGCACTCAGGGATAACTCTGAAATTGAAAGCAAGACAACCAGTCAAACAATGCTGAAAAGCAAGTCCAAGTAGTAGACAAAAGGACGGAAACTGAGGATGATACCTGAGAGGAAGTGGATTCAGAATGGAGGGTAGAAGGTAGCAACTGAGGAAACTCTTGAACTGTTGTGGTATAGCTATAACACAGTTTTTAATAGGATGTCTTTAGCTTTGGCCATGGATGGGAGGGAGTTATTCAGGTTTCCTTGGTTACATGGATTTGGAGGTTATCAGTACATAGGTAGTAGTTAAAGCCATGTAAATATATAGGATTACATGAAGAGACTATACAGATGGAGAAGAGGTTAAATAATAGAGCCCTGAGGGAACATCAGCACCCAATGCAATGAGATGAGAAGAAGCAATCAGAAAAGAAGGAAAAACAAGAAGAAATTGTTATTCAACGCAAGTTAAGGGACAAGAGAGTGTTAAGAAAAAGGGGAGTTTAAGAGTGCTAAAATCCACAGAGAAGTTGGGTCAGGATTTAATAACAAGGTAGTCATTCATGACCTTGGCTAGGATAGTTTCAGTGAATATGATAGGACAGAGTCTGAATACATAAAGCAGGCTGAAGAATGAATGAAAGGTGAGGAATTAGAGACTCCTATAATTGCCTGTTTACTTCTGTGACTCCTCCTCTAGGATGCCAACTCCGAAGGTAGGAATCAAGTCTGTTTTGTTTTCCCTGAACGTTTTGTACTTACTCAGGGTCTGACATATGGTAGACACTCAATAAATATTTTGGACTGACCGATGGAGACAGATAATGGCTAGAGGGAAATTCAAGAACAAGGTAAGGTTATAAGTATTTTTAAAAATAGAATACAAAAAAAATATTAAAAATGTATTGTTAGTGGTTACTTCTGGTTAACAAGCTGTGGCTTTTAAAAGCCCATTTATTTCTTTTTTTTTTTTTTTTTTTTTTTAGACGGAGTCTCACGCTGTTGCCCAGGCTGGAGTGCAGTGGCGCGATCTCGGCTCACTGCAAGCTCCGCCTCCTGGGTTCACGCCATTCTCCTGCCTCAGCCTCCTGAGTAGCTAGGACTACAGGCGCCCGCCACCGCGCCCGGCTAATTTTTTGTATTTTTAGTAGAGACGGGGTTTCACTGTGGTCTCGATCTCCTGACCTTGTGATCCGCCCGCCTCGGCCTCCCAAAGTGCTGGGATTACAGGCTTGAGCCACCGCGCCCGGCCTAGCCCATTTATTTCATTTAAAATTATTATTATTATTTTGAGACAGAGTCTCACTGTGTTTGAGACAGAGTCACTGGAGAGCAGTGGTACACTCTCAGCTCACTGCAGCCTCCGCCTCCCAGGTTCAGGTGATGATTGTGCCTCAGCCTCCTAAGTAGCTAGGATTACAGGCATGGCCACCATACCCAGCTAATCTTTGTATTTTTAGTAGAGAAGGGGTTTCACCATGTTAGCCAGGCTGGTCTCAAACTCCTGGCCTCAAGTGATCTGCCCACCTTGGCCTCCCAAAGTGCTGGGATTACAGGCATGAACCACCATGCCTGGCCTAATACTCTTTTTTTTAAGAACAATTTTAGGTTTACAAAAAAACTAAGCAAAGTACAGAGAGTTCCTGCATACTCCCTCTCTCACCTCCACCCTACAGTTTTCCCTATCAACATGTTGCATTATTGTGGTACATTTGTTACAACTGATAACCAATATTGCTACATTATTATAAACTGATGGCCATAGTTTGCATCATCTTTGACTCTGTGTTGTGTTTCATGGGTTTGACAAGCACATAATGTCATGAATCCACCATGACAACATCATACAGAACAGTTTCACTGCCCCAAACATCCCCTGTGCTCCACTGCTTTATCCCTCTCCCCTCTCTCTCCAAACCCCTGGTAACCACAGATCTTTTTGTTTTTACTGCCTTTATTGTTTTCCTTTTTGCAAAATGTCATATATTTGAAATCACACAGTATGTAACCTTTTCAGATTGGCTTCTTTCACCTAACAATATGAACTTAAAGTTCCTCTGTGGTGTGTGTGTGTGTGTGTAGCTTGCTAGCACACTTCTTTTTATTGCTGAATAATATTCCATTGTATGGACATACTAATGTAAACAATTGAGCTGAGGCCAGGCATGGTGGCTCATGTCTGTAATCCCAGAACTTTGGGAGGCCAAGGTGGGCAGATCACTTGAGGCCAGGAGTTTGAGACCAGCCTGGCCAACATGGTGAAACCCCTTCTCTACTAAAAATACAAAGATTAGCTGGGTATGGTGGCCATGCCTGTAATCCCAGCTACTTAGAAGGCTGAGGCACAATCATCACCTGAACCTGGGAGGCGGAGGCTGCAGTGAGTTGAGATCGTGCCACTGCACTCCAGCCGGGCGATGGAGCCAGACTCTGTGAAGAAAAAAAAGAAAAGAAAAGAAAAGAAAAGAAAAAAGACAAGCTGAGGGGAAAGAATCCTATAAGGGGATATTCAGATATTAAGAAAGAGAGAATACAGGATTGACTGAGGTTCCTGAAGAAGTAGGAAGGGATGGAATCTAGAATATATAGATTAGTACTGAAGGAAAAAGTTATACCTTTTTTGAGACTGAAGGAAAGGAGGTAAAGGTGGGTTAAAATATATGTACAGAGGAGGATATTTAGCTGATAGTTTGGATTTTTCTCAGTAAAATAGAAGGGAATATCATTTGCTACATACTGGGGAGCGAGGGGAGCGTGGTAGAAGGCCTGAGAATGGTGATTGTTTAGAAAAGCTGATACGGATAATAAAATATGAAGCCAATTACAAAATGGTGAAAATTTTGCCAAGTAGCACTGGGACAGAGGACAGTGGAGTCTCTGAATTTGTAATGGTTTTATGATCTCCAAAATAGTGCTCAACACTCTCAGATTAGAAACAGAGCAGGGTCGATGGCTTGGTTAATTCAAGGTTGAGATTTGTTTAGTGATCAAAGAGAAGAAAAGGAGAACTAGTAAGGTACTGAGGATGCTTATGATCTCAGGGTACAGATAGGCAAGCTAGGAAAGGAAGTAAAGTTATAAGGAATTGCTAGACTGGAGAAAAAGGAAAGCCAAGGGTTTATAAATCTCCATGAGATAAAAAGCAGGAATACTTAAAAAAAATCTCGAGTACTGAGCCATGTACTGATAATATGGAGGAATAAGGTTTGTGATCTAAGATTGTGAAAAGAAAGTTTATAATTCCACAGTAGTACAACTCTGGACAATGACATGGTAATATGGAAATGGGTGATACAGAGAGATCATCTGAAGGATTCTTTCAGATACCTGAAAGAGTCCACAGTGATAGGTCGTCCAATAAAGATGACAATACCCCCCAAAACACTAGCAGTGATTGGGACGGGAGGGAGAAGTTTCAGAGCCCTCAGTGAATGGGGTGTAGAAGCCAGAAGTTTCCTAGATAGCAACAACAAGAAGAGTTAAAGATGATTATAGCCAGAGGCATAAGCATCACAGGAAGAAAGACCGTGTAGGAGAGAAAACCTAATGGTTAAACATGGCACAGGATAATGAGGGCAACACCTTTGGGCTTATCGTATCCAGAGTTTATGGTATGCAGAGTATGAGAGAGATGGAAGAAAAAGAAATGTTCTCAGGGAAAATCATGTTTCAATTAATGAAGGGATTGAGGCTACAGGTAAGTTTGTTTATAAGAGAACAAAGAGTCCAGTGATTTAGTGAAAAATGTGTTATGGTCAATCAGTCGTGGACAGAAGAGGGAGAGGAAAGAAACTCCAGGAGGGATTTACTCCCTAGAAGCTATAACTTTGCCTATATTGCCAAGGTCATTAGCCGAACCCTGGAAGATGATTTAAGGCAAATCATTGAATTTCCTTCCCCTTCCCAATCTCTTTGGATGGATAGGGGTAAGAACTAGAGTCAGATGTTTGGTATATAAGTCAAGTGGCCAAGAGTTTGGAATTGGGTCTAGCAAGACAGGGATAAGGTGAGAAATACCCTGAAGGCAACAGAGGAACCCCTATGAAGGGATACTTAAAAACAAACCCATAAACAAAAGCTGGGTCCAATACTAGAGAAAACAGTAAAAATTAACCAGCTAGAGATAAGAAAAATTAATAGGAAGACATTTTTATAATTTTATAAAGACTGTTGAATATGTCACAAATCCTTAAGTTATAAAGGAAAATGACTGATAGATTTGATTACATGACTTAAAAACTTCTACACAAAATATTATTTAACAAATTAAAAACCAAAAGACAAAATGGGAAAAATAACTGTAACATATGCACCAGACAAAGGAAGAGCTGGTATTTTTACTGTATAAAGAGCATTTTCAAATAAGAAAAAAAGGCCGAAGAATATGAATAGACAGTTCACAAAGTAAGTGTAAATGGGCAATAAAGAGATGATAAGGGGAAGAAAAATAAGCACATAAAAATGATTCAATCTAATTAGTAATCAAAAAAGGTAAATTAAATAGATACTATTTTTCATCAATTAAATTTCAACAGATTAAAAATTGTTAATACCAGTTCTGACAAGCATATGGGGGGAAAGAAATTGTCATATATTTTTGGTGGGATTATAAAGTTATGCAAATCTACCTGGAGGGCAATATGGCACTCTCTAATGTATTAAAACATGGCTACATTTTGACCAACAAATTTTACTTCTAGGACTTTATTCTAAAGAAATAATTATCAGAAAAGTAGACAAAATGTATGTGCCATAATGATTACCAAAATGTCATTTGTAATCACAAAAGAAAATGGAATAAAAATAAGAAATTAAATAAATTAAGGTACACTGATAGAATTGAATAGTAGACACCCATTCAAAATGATGATGTAAACCTAGACCTACTGACATGGAAAGATGATGACAATAATAGTGTCAAGTGAACAAAAGGAAACTGGAAATAATATGCATACTATGATTTTGTCTCCTCCATCTTCTAGATCTAGAGGTACATATGTGTCTGTGTATATACATATGAAAAGCATAAGATATACTCCCTAACTTTACATTGGCTATCTAAATGGGATGGAATACTTTTAACTTTCTTCACACATTTCTGTATTGTTTAAATTTTTTTTACAATGAGCATGGATTATTTTTTAAAGAGAAAAAGCCAATAAAGCTATTTTTGTTTAAAAAGAACAAACGAAGATCTTCAGAATTAAACATAGGTCATTTACATAATGCTTTCTGATATTTCTGATATTACAGGGCCAATAAAAGCTTTAATATTTCAGTGGCTAAGGGAGTCTCAATTTGTGCTTCTCTGAAGCACAGCCTCACTTAGCTCCCACATGCATTTCCCATGGAGCTGTAATCACTCACCTCAGAGACTGTCACCCTCTGTCCATCCTTGTCATAAGTATCACCTGTTGGTAAGTGAACACAGCAGAGACTTGGCAAGGGTTTTAAAGGAGGGTTTGAATTTCTTTAAATTATGGTTAAAAAAATATATATATATATCACATAAAACTTGCCATTTTAACTATTTTATTTTTTTTTATTTATTTATTTTTTTGAGACGGAGTCTCGCTGTGTCTCCCAGGCTGGAGTGCAGTGGCGTGATCTCGGCTCACTGCAAGCTCCGCCTCCCGGGTTCACGCCATTCTCCTGCCTCAGCCTCCCAAGTAGCTGAGACTACAGGCGCCCGCCACCACGCCCGGCTAATTTTTTGTATTTTTAGTAGAGACGGGGTTTCACCGTGTCAGCCAGGATAGTCTCGATCTCCTGACCTCGTGATCCACCCGCCTCGGCCTCCCAAAGTGCTGGGATTACAGGCTTGAGCCACCGCGCCCGGCCCATTTTAACTATTTTAAATGTAAAATGCAATGACATTAATTATATTCACAATGTTGTGCAACAATCATCACTATATGTTTTCAACATTTTTTCAGCACCCCAAACAGAAACTTCCCATTTCTTCCCACCACCAGCCCCTAGTAACCTCTAATCTATTTTCTGTCTCTATGAATTTGCCTATTCTAGATAGTTCACATAAGTAGAATCATAAAATTTTTGTCTTTTTGTGTTTAGCTTACATCATTTAGCATAATGCTTTCAAGGTTCATCCATGTTGTAGCATGTATCAAATTTCATTACTTTTTAATGGATGATTAACATTCCATTGTATGTATATGCTGTACCACATTTTCTTTATCCATTCATATGTGGATGGACATGTGGGTTATTTCTACCTCTGGACTTACGTGAATAATGTCACAATGAACGTTGGTATACATGTATCCGAGTTCTTGTTTTCAAGTTTTGGGAGTATATACCTAGGAATCAAATTGCTGGGTCATATGGTGATTTAAAGGAGGGGCCTTAAAAGCTTATTTATTCTGATCCCTTCATCCTAGACTTGCAGTCAAGCTGCCCCCAGTCTCCTCAGGCCACCTAGCTCCCAGTGCCCAGTAAGCTCCTTTCCCTAACCCAATGGTAAGAAGAGTTTTGCTTGGGCCTCAACTCTTCCCTCCTAAGTGAGAATAAGATGAAGCTAGAAGTGAAACGCTTCACACCTCAGAAAGCTCTCCAATCATAAGAGTTACCCAGAAGAGATGTGGACTTAGTTTTAGAGTGTTTGGGATTCTTGACCAGTGGATGACAGACAGAATCGGGGTAGAAGACATGTCTGATGCCAAGCATGGAAACACTCATGGTCCTTTTCAACTTTACCCAGTATATGGTCAGGTCTTAAAATGAGCCAGAGAATTAAAAGGCTCACCCAAATCAACTCATCCAAAAATAAGCCTTCAGAGTTTATATAAATGAAAGTTTGTTTGACATGGTTACCAAACAAATAATAAGAAATATAGGAAATAATAGGAAATATTAGAGTGCTCTAGTTTTTTTTTTTTTTTAGACAGGAGTTTCATTCTTGTCATCCAGGCTGGAATGTAGTGGCGTGATCTTGGCTCACTGCAAACTTCACCTCCCGGGTTCAAGTAATTCTCCCACCTCAGCCTCCCAAATGGCTGGGATTACAGGTGTGTGCCATCATGCCTGCTAATATTTTTGTATTTTTAGTTGAGATGGGGTTTCACCATGTTGGCCAGGCTCGTCTCGAACTCCTGACCTCAGGTGATCCGCCTGCCTCAGCCTCCCAAAGTATTGAAATTACAGGCATGAGCTAACGCTCCTGGCCTAGCTTTTTTTAAATTCAAAAATTTCAATTATTTATTGATATGAAATTTACTTAACATATAATTATCCATTTTAATGTGTACAATTTAGAGGCATTTAGTGCATTTATAATGTGCAACTACCACCTCTCTCTAGTTTAAAAACTTTTTTATCACCCTAGAAAGATTATCCCATGTGTTCTAGTTTTTTAGATGTGATTACCTTCTTCTGTTAGCTAGGACACTGGGTATGAGTGTTCACACACATGAAGACTTTATCACAAAAACAAGCTTATGCTTAAGGCATAAGATAAATAAGGGACTGGGCCTGGGAGACACTGATCAAACTCTGACTACCCTTTGATGGTTTCTCTTAATAATATTTATTGTTCTAAAGGGGAATCAGGAAATTAGCAGCTTCAGTAATACATTGACTGCTCCATTTATTTATTTTTAATTTTATTATTAATTGACAAATAATTGTATATATTTATGGATACAATGTGATGTTTTCATATATGTATACACCATGGAATGATTATATCAAGCTAACTAACATATTCATCATCTTGCAAACTTATTTTTTTATAGTGAGAACACTTAAAACTCTTAGCAATTCTGAAATATGCAATGCATTATTACTAACTAGGATCAACATGCTGTGCAATGGATCTTGAAGACTCACTCCTCCCGCCTAACTGAAACTTTGTACCCTTTGACCAACATCCATCTGATTTAAAATGGGAGTGAAACTGAGTATATAGACATTAGGAACTCCTTGAGGACAGAGACTAAGTCTTGTACATCTTGGTATTCTCCATGCCCAGCACAATAGATTGTACCTATAAGATGCTAAATAAAGGCTTTTTGGTTAGAACTGTTTGGGCTGGGTGGTCTTTGCTTAGAGAATAGAGACAGTTGTGAGAATAAGAGGTAAATGTGAATTCCAGAGGCTTATAGATTTAGAGCTAGATTCGTCTTGAAAACAATTTGCAAAGTAAAAATTCCCCAGGACTTGGGGAAAGCAGGAAGACATGCATACCATAGAGCTTCCCATTAATAGAACATTTGTTGAAAATCATAATGTTCTGAGTCAGAGTCCCTGTTTTGTCAGAGAACACGTATTTGACTTGGCCGAGCTCCTCATTAAGGGTGGTAGTACGAGCCTGTGCTGGTGTGTTCCTTGGTGCATAAAACATCTTCCGATCCCAGTTGATATATAAACTGTTGCCCAATCTTATTATTTCAACACTAAGGAGAAAGAAAAAGAATGGTTCTGCCTCAGAACAGGACAAGCAAATATAACATCCTGGTTTCTTTCTTAGCAGTCCTGTGGTAGATCAGGGCTAGCATCTGAAAATCAGGGTGTCTTCTTGGGATTCTACCCTTCTGAAGTACCCTTCCCACCAGCCAACCCATGGTAAGGCTGACTTTGGCCATTATCACTCAAGGCTTTACCACCTGTACCCAGATACATTTGATTAACTTTTTTGAGTCATACCTGTCTTTTATTCTTTTTTTTTTTTTTCTAAAATGTATCCAGGAAAAGTTACAGTTTTGGAATGTCTGCAGTAATGCAAGGTGTGATAGAGTAACAGTTAACTTATAAAAGGCTGTGTTGGCCCAACTGGAGGATTATTGCTCCTGTCACATGGGGAAGACAGAGGAACTCAACACACTCGAGTTTATTTCAGAAGAAGGAAAGAAGTTATGGAAATTAGGAATAGTTTATGGACTGAACCTCTGATAAATTTCCAGGCAGAGCCAGCCTGCCTGTGGTGTGCTTCCTTCCACAACAACCTCTTCTCATTTTATATGAGTTTTCCCTATTGCCTTTGTCATACTCCTCTTCTGCTCCAAATAGCATCCATTATAGATTCTTTATGGCTAATAAGCATGTTCATTTTAAAAGAGTGAAGACTTTTAAGGGGTCTCCTTCTTATCATCATTCATACTTAATGTGTTTTAATCTGCTTTATTATAAGGGTGATTATTAGTAATCCCTGTCTGAGACAGCTGCACTGAGAGATGGGGATTTTTTCCTTTGAGGTAAAGAAGGAAGTGCTCAGGTCCTCATCATCGACTGATTACTGATAATCTCTATGCCTGGAGTTGGGACTCCTCCCATCCTTTACCATATCCAGCAACCACAGCAATCTCTCTCAACCTTAGCACATAGTAGATACTCAATAAATATTACTAAATAAGGTAATCTAGTTACGTAGGGTACTTTTTTTTAATTGCCAAAAAGCCCCGGTACAGGGTTTAGAAGCCTGGAAAGGAGGAAACTAAAATGTATTTGGGTGTATGTATGTGTAAGGAAATGCAGAACCTAGAAAAGGATGATCAGAGTAAGGTAAATACTTTTCTCCACTATTTCAAATTTTCATTCAAGGTGCTTATGAAAAAGAGTAAGAAAAACCCTTCTTCTTCTCTTCTACAACTTTTAGGAATTGAACTTAGGTCAAAATTACACCTATCTACCATCTGTCACACTGTTTCTGTGGGAAAATGCATTCTGAATTCTGATTAATTGACTTACAAGTGAATGTTTGGACCTATCTCGTTGGTAAACTATGGGCTGCCTGGCCTATCTTCCTGGGGAACCTACCCATGTGTTAGCATCACCAAATTTGTCTGTATGTTTTCTAGTTATTTCATGTGTTTGTATGTCTTATTTAGTCACTTACTTTTTAAGTTATTTGAGGGCAGGGATAATTTTCTTTTTGTATAAACCACACAGTGTCTTCCTAGCACAGTATTCTGGACATGGAAGGCATTTATGCAATCTCTAGATATATCTCAGAGCATTTTGTACACCAGGTACTGTGGAGAGTAAGGGGTTAAAGAGCACAAGTGTATGCTTTTTAAAAGTTCACACTCTGGTTGGGGAATTAAGTAGACAGTATGAAGTCAGCTCCTCCCCCACACCCCAAAGTGATCAAAGAAGCCTACCTGACATAGAGGGAAATGGGCACCATGGTGTTGAGAATAATGAAGTAGGACCAGAATATGAGGATGGCAGAGACAGCTGATGAAGAGACATATTTTTCCCATGGCAGAAAAATCTGGAAGTGGTAGCCTTTCTTGTTCTGCCAAATGCCATGCCCAACTGCTAGGACAAAACATATGATGCCTAAACCCAGGAAAATCTATAAATGAAAAAAAAAGAATTAAATGAACATTTCATCCAAGATATGTACTGCTTCAGTTCTACAGTCTAGAGCCTTCTCTCTCAACAAAGCGACCCTCTCCTAGGAGGGCGGGGAGGCCCTATAGTTCACAGGCTCTAGGCAGCAGTACACAGGACAGAAAAGAAACTCCAGTAGAAGCTCTCCTTGGACATATTATTTAATATTTACAATAATCCTCTTTTAATAATAGATGAGGAACTTAAGAGTGAGAAAGAATTTTGTCTAAAGTCACTCAGCTACTGAGTAGAAGAAACAGGTTTTGAAACAGTTCCAGAACCCAAGCACTTAATCATTCCATTATTGAAGCTGCTTTAATAGAAGTCTAAAATGTGTGGGGCTTAGCAGTTAGGGGGTGGGCGATAAGGAAACTGATATAAAAGGCTGAAAATATGGTAGTCATGTTAACATTAAAGAATTTGGTAAAACTGAAAGGTAGACCATATGCCTACTGAACCTGCAGCTCTAAGAGAAATGGTTAGAAAGAATCAAAATATTGTGTACTGGCTGCCTTTGAAAGGTATTGAAAGAAAGAGTTGACTGTGTGCAGTGACTCATGCATGCCATCCTAGGATTTTGGAAAGACCAGACAGGAGGATTGCTTGGGGCCAGGAATTTGTGACCAGCCTGGGCAATATACTGAGACCCCATCTTTACTAAAAAAATTTTTTTTAAAGTTAAACGAGGGAAAGAATTAGCCAATTTGTAGGCAGAAATGAGAAGATACAGAAACATGGGGCATCAAAGAACTATGACTTCTAGACATTAAACAGGAAGAGATAAGATTGAAACCTTAAGCAAAAAAGGCCCAATAATTATTTTCAACTGAATAAAGTGACTCAGCCTTTAGGCAAAGTTCAGGTTAAAGGTGATACCTTCTTACCCATGACTATTATTCCACATAGCCTCAACTTTCTTGCCATTAAGTTGAAAGAGAAGGGCATGGAGGGGCAAGGAAGCGAAGAAATAGGACAAACTCAAAAACTATGTCTAGGAAAGAATTTTCGGGGGCGGGGGGTTACTGACACATGAAACTAATTGGAAGCAAACAGATGAGAAGTCTTATGGGTTTTGGAGGAATGGTATTACTAGGTAACTATAAGCCTGGTCTAAAAAAGCCTGTGACTGTTTGGAAATCCTTAAAACCACACTGGGCAGGAAGCAGGTTATAAAAACTGCAGTCCCTAAGAAGAGTATACTCCCAAACATCCACTTCAGGGTTGGTCAGCAAGGATAAAGAATGAGGGAAAACTTCTCAGAAGTGGAGCCAGAAATCACTGAGAGCAATGAATAAAGGAGATCCTCTCACATCTCCAGACCAAGAGGAACCTCATTTAGATCTGATGGAGAGAACTGTGCATCAGTGAGAGATCTTGGACTCTGAGTTGGATGCAGTGACTGGGTAGGATTTGGGGGAGATGATGAGGGTGTTCCATATGTGGGAGGAAAAATGAAATGGATATGATGATCAGAAGGGTAGATTGTGGCAGTGATAATCATATGTATTCATTAAATTCTATTTTTTTTCCTTCTGAGCACATATCTAGAGCACATTTCCCAAGCTCTCTTGCAGTTATATGTAACTCTGTTCTAGCCAGCGCAATGTTGATGGAAGTGATTATGCTACTTACACGCTTGGCCCTAAAATGCTATCACGTGTGGCCAGGTGCAGTGGCTCACGCCTGTAATCCCAACACTTTGGGAGGCCGAGGTGGGCGGATCACGAGGTCAAGAGATTGAGACCATCCTGGTCAACATGGTGAAACCCCATCTCTACTAAAAATACAAAAATTAGTGGGGTGTGGTGGCGTGCACCTGTAGTCCCAGCTAGTCAGGAGGCTGAGGCAAGAGAATCGCTTGAACCCAGGAGGCAGAAGTTGCAGTGATCCAAGATCACGCCACTGCACTCCAGCCTGGGCAACAGTGCGAGACTCCATCTCAAAAAAACAAAAAAAAAAAATCATGTGTGAGTCTTCCTATTCTCTCTTATTCCCCATTTGCTAGTTGAATGCAGGGAATCCAGTAGAAGATCCTGAAATCCAAGAGGTTGGTGGGGCCATTAGCTAGAATGGCTAGAGTATTCTTGAGTTATTGGTGGAGCAAGTTGCCCCTCCCCCAAAAAAACCTTCATTGTATTGTCACATATCTGTGAGATTTTAAGGCTGTTTTTTATTTTGGTTATCTTACTTTGACTAATACAACTATACTACTCATGGTTCCAGATTAATCTGATGCCCTCTATTTTTCATTATTTAACATTTAATTGTTAACACACATAAAGACATATGCAGAAATCACAGATATATGTTGATGAATTTTCCCAAAGTAATCACACTAATGGAACAAACACCCAGAACAAATAAATAGAACATTCTCAGCACCCAGAAACAACCCTATGTCCCATTTCAGTCACTATCCCCCTAAAGTTGCACATATTTGAAGTATACAACTATATACTAGACATACACACACACACGCATATACACACATATCTGTGAAACCATCACCATACTCAAGTTAATGAAATATTCATTATTCCTAGGTTTCTCGTGCCCTTTGTAATTCCTCCTTCCCACTTCTCCCTTCCCCTGGTCCTCAGGCAACCACTAATCTGCTTTCTGACACTTTAGAATATTTGAAATTTTTAGATTTTATACAAATGGAATCATATAGTATATATTCTTTTTTCTGGCTTCTACTACTTAGCATAATGACTTTGGGATTCATCCATGTTTTTGCATCTATCAATCGTTCATTTCTTTTTAATACTGAGTAGTGTTCTATTGTATTGATATTGCACAATTTGTGTACTAATTTTTCTTTTATTGAACATTTGTTTTTTTCCAGTTTTTGGCTATTACAAACAAGGCTGTATGAAACATCTGTGTACAAGTCTTTTCATGGACATAAGCTTTCATTTCCTTTGTACATATCTAGGAGTAGAATCACTGGATCCTATAGCAAATTTATCTTTAACTTTTTAAGAAACTGCCAAATGTTTTCCAAAGTTATTATGCCATTTTACATTCCTACCAGCCCGATATGTCCACATGCCTCTAGAGACAATATGATGTTATTGAACCACCTCGAAGTCTACCCAACAGTCTTTACATCTACCCAACGGTCTTCACATCTGTGACCTTGGTCACAAAGTATGGCTGGCTCAAAGCAACCCATCCCCATTGCTAGGTAATGGAAGGGCTCATCTTTGTGCCACTGATGGGCAGGTCTTTGAAGACAAGACTAGAAAAGTAGGAGGAACAGGTCTAACTGGGACCATTCCTAGAAACTGAGATTTTAAATTATTTTTTATTATGGAAAATTTAAAACACCAATTAAAGTATATAAATAGGACAACAAACCCCCATGCACCCATGTACCCATCACCCAGCTTCAACAATTGTCAATTCATAGCCAGTCTAATTTCATCCAAACCTCCTCTTCCCCTGCCTTCCCAGAACAAATCTGTCACATTATGCAATTTCATCTGTAAATAATTTAATATATAGCTCTAAAGGGTAAAGATCTTATTTTAAAACATAATCAAAACCAGTATTACTTAAAAATTAACACTAAACACTTAATATTCAATATCAAAAACTGGTATTTGAGAGTTGAGTGAGGGGCCGGGGAACAATAAAACAAAGGAGAATTGGGACAAAACACATAAAATCTGCTTTTATTCCTAGCCAAATCCAGATTCATGCTGAGTAGCTCAGCTTTTTGTGATGAGGGTTTCTCTGGGGCCATGCAATCTTTCCTTCTCAATCTTATTCCCACTTCTTTATCTTTCTCTTCAATTAATCATGTGAAAACAAAGCTATTCGCATGGTTCAGATAAAGCCTCAGTGAGTTACTGATCTGAGTTTGAGTTCTACTGCGCACACTAAGCCACCAGAAAGGAAGACCACTTCTCATCAGCCCAAGCCCCAGAAAGCAGGGCTTCCCCCACAGCCTGAATCCTGAAGGTGTAGGGCACAGTGTTTTCTTTCTTCATTGCTAGAGCTTTTCCTGCCATCATGAGGCCTTCAAAGCCCTTGCAGATGTTCTACATTTCTTTTTATTGTGGTAGGGATTTTTGGTACTTAGTCTTTAAAGCTTCACTTTACTTCCTTTCTATAAGGAGAAAGAAACAAGGAATCATTAGTTTGTTTGGTTATTGCTACAGACCCTAGAGATAATACCAGACCTAGTCAGACCAAAGAAGTGCAGACAGCCTCCCATTTAGCAAAACGTGGCTTCAATAAAGAGTGAAATAAATAATTTTGTCACTCTTGACAAAACTGACCTAGAACCAAGGCCATTGGTCTCATAAAGGTGCTCCCTGGCCTCATAGGCAGCCTGTCAAAAGAAAGCACTCCTTGGGGCCTTTGACCCTTCACATCTGTGCTTTACATTGTGCCTTACCCCAGAAGGAGATCCTGGATCTCTGGCACCATTTCAATTTCATGCACTTTGCTCATTTGTCTCACAAATACACTCCTAGTTAATAGATCATGATTTAGAAGGCATTGTCACTGGGAGTTCTGGTCACTGGGGAGAGAGAACGGATCTAACCCCCAGCTCAGCTGTGGGCTCATCAGGAAGCAGCTTTGCTAAACGTGCTTCCTGTGTCTGTCAGATTTTCTTCTAAGAGGCATTTCTAAAAAATGGGGGAAAATGAAGTGTTTAAATCAGGAAGGATTTCTGGTTCAGCTTACTTCAAGAAATGGAAGTGTTTTACATATCACTACATCGGCAATGTCCTGGCACAAATACCACAGAAACAAAACTGCTGAGCTGATAAGAACCTAGCTAATTCAAGGACATTTCTTCATTTAATAATTCAATAGAGATTTACTAAGAACTACTTTGTGCAAGGCACTTCCAAAAATATGAAGATGAATATGGTGTAATTTCTACTGTAGAGGCTCATAATCTGGTGGCTAAGACGTTCATTCATTTTTTTCACTCACTCAACA